GGCCCACTGATTGGCGACCACTGTTCTAGTCCAACCACCTGCTCAAGTACGAGACCCATTACACTTCCAGTAAAATAGTTGTCCCAGTCTGTTCTGAAAAGCCTCCAGTGATGGAGCATTCACAATTTCTGCAGGCAAGTTGCACCACTGGTTAATTGTTTACACTGCCAGGAAATTTCTCTTAATTCCAGGTTGGACACTTAGAAGCGTTACTTACATTTATTAAGAATGGCCTCGTTTCCAGCCAGGTTACATACACAGTAAATATATTTTAAAATATTTCCGTCTCCTTTGCTGCAACTTAAGAGGGCAGACATGTTGCTTCTTGAGGTGAAACAGCAAAAAAAAAAAAAAACAACTCCTAAACATCCGTGGGACATTATATCTATAGGGAAGATGGGGTTTTTTCTTCTTCTTTGATCTCCATAGCAACCTTGCGAGGTAGGTCGGGGGAAGAGATCAAGAGTGGCCCTCAATCTCCCCAAACTTGAGTTAGCAATTGGGTTTATGTGAGCCAAGAAAAAGTCAAACAGATTTAAGGGCCATTTTTACAGACCAAAATTCCTTCCCTCAATGGTCAGGCTGAGGCCATCCTAATTTCACTTGATCATGTGTGTGATCCCTGGGAAACAGGCTTTCTGACCCAACAGGGGAAGGCCAGCTAAATATGGTTTATTCCAAAGATCACGGCTTACCGAAGGTAGGAAACTCCATGTTCTGGAGCCGATGCCAGTTAATTAAACCTGCAGAGGGCAGGAAGGAATTGCCCAGGGAAGTTATGTTCCCCCTTACTTACATACCATTCAGAAGTTGCCAAGCTTGCCATTTTGGGCGAGTGGGATGCTGCCACTGCCAAAGCACGCGTGGCCATTGGTCTTTTAGCCAACTGGAAGGCCAATGGAACAGTTGGACTAAGGAGCCAATGAGAGATGCCCCAAATGGTGCCACCAATCAGGCGCCGGCTGGTTTGGAGGGGGAAATATAATATATAATATTTTGCCTTTTTAATATTTCATAAAACATGTCATTCTTCTAGGAGAGGGGTGGGTGCTAACTTTCCAGTTCTCACGATGCTTAACATGGTGGGAAATCAGATCTACCCCTCAAAATCCTGCCTTTTCCCTCATGGGCTCTGCCTGGAGCGATTTACTCAGTCGTGGGTGTGAATGGAATCCGTGCTGCTAATTCAAAAAAGAGCATAAACACCCAGGCGACGACATCCTACGGCCTGTGACTGAGCTTGCCGTGTAGACACCATTGGCCTCTGTTATTAGCGTTATGCGCCTTTTATTCCGGTGGCATATTAATTGCATCCTTTGCTTGGTGGCTTGTTAGTACAATTATAGGCCTTTGCTCCCCATTCCTTCAACCCACCTGCCTCGCCTTCCTTGTTATTTCTCCGAGAAGGATGTTCGGCAGTCCCACAGCAGCTCAGAGCGTAGCATTATTATTCAAGAATACTACAAGTCCTCGACAAGGCCCTTTCTCCCTGCAGAGAGAAACGAAGAATTCATCGTAAAACTAAAAAATAAATAAAAAAGGTGGATTCCCTTTCTTACACGATTGATGAATCTCTGTTGTGGTTGCCGGACCGCTGAGGTCTCGGAGTGCAAGACCGCAGCCTGCGTGTGATGCAGGGATGGGGCCAGGACCATCAGGGAGTGGAAGGCTGCCTTCGGAGATTGTGGAGGCTGGCAGCACTGATGAAGAGTTCCCCGAGGAGCCTGGGCCCATTGCGCATGCGCCAGTGGTGGGATTCAATTTTTTTTTTACTACCGGTTCTGTGGGGGTAGCTTGATGGGCGTGGGAGGCAAAGGATACTGTCAAATCTCCAGTCAGAGGTGGCATTCGCCGGGTCTCTGAACTACTCAAAATTTCCGCTACCGGTTCTCCAGAACTGGTCAGAACCTGCTGAATTACCACCTCTGGCAGGGGCGCAGGGCTGCTTGAAGGAAAGAGCAGCTGTAGCAGCATGGGCGACTCGGGAGTAAGGTTGCAAGGTAATGGCCCCTCCCTTAAGAGATAAAAGCCAGCCTGAGAGACCGGGATTCTTTGCAGGAAGCAAAGAAGTTTATTGTATTTCAAGCCTTGTGGAAGGTTCAGACTATCTTGGTTTGTGTTGGAAGAGTTTCTGTTTGGAGTATTTCTTGGCAACTTCCCAATAGAAGAAATTGACTGGAAAAAGGTAGAGGTGACATCAGATCTAAAGTACAGAGTCTTCTGCCTTTAAGAACAGAACAAAAAGTACCTCTGGATCCTAACTGAACAAGAAGGGCAGAGACAAGGAACTCGCAACTGGGGACAAAAACTACATACTGGCTGAAGACGAAAAAGGCCCAACAACTTATGTGCATTGGTGAAGGGACTCACTACAAAAGTGCTGGTTCAAACATACCATCAAATTACAGTTTATTGCAACAAAGAACCACCTCCAGAAATCTGGAGGGGGGGGGGATACTACTCTCACCCTGCATTGCAATCGCAAGTTGGTTTAAGTCAAGCTGGTATCACAACTCGGAAGCAGAAGACAAAAAGTCGCTCTGAAGAGCATCCTGCCCCATCAAGGCAACTGAAAATGGTTCCCAGATATGGCTCTTATTTGCTTTTCTCAGTGTATTGGGTTTTTCAAATGTTTCAGGAGATAGCAAAGGAGGAAAACGCCCCTTAACAGAATAACAGTTGGAAGGGACATTGGAGGTCTTCTAGTCCAACCCATTGCTCAAGCAGGAGACCCTTGTTGTGGTTAGCCGGCAGCAGGTGCAGACGGCTGAGGAGAGCGAGGACTCAGATGAGGGGCCAGGACCATTAGGGAGTGGATTGCTGCCTTCAGAGATTTTGAGGCTGGCAGAAGCAATGAGGAGGTTCCCGAGGAGCCTGTGCCAAGTGCGCGTAGGGCTGCTCGCAGGAAAGAGCAGCTACAACAGCACGGGCAACTCAGGAGTAAGGCTGCAAGGTAATGGCCCCTCCTTCAAGCAGATTAAAGCCAGCTGTGAAACGAATGTACTTTGCAGAAGGCAAAGACGTTTTGAGACTCCAGCCTCGTGGACATTCCAGTATCCTGAGTTTGTATTTGAAGGTTCTTGTATTGCAAATTATTTTTTGCCTGTTATCTATATGGCAAGTCTCGCAGAGTTTGGCAAGGCTTGTGCTTATCACAGCTAATTATTTTGCAAAACCATTACAAGGTTTCTGTTCCCTTTGGATTGTGTTTGATTTGTTGAAAAAGGGCGTGGGTCAGAACAGGTTGGCCAGCCGTAGGAAGGGCACGGTTTGGGATTAAACCGTTAAATAATCTGATTTACTTGACAGACTTTCTTATGTACTGTTTTCCCCCCTCCCCACTTTTGTTTTAGTCATAGAAGTGCATCATCCTTTGAGAGAACAGAAAGCTATCTTCCCAAGGAAGAAACAAAAATCAAAGCCTGTCAGGTGAACAAAATGGCACTGCAGGAGGAGGAGGAGGAGGAAGGGAAAATGGCCAGCCAAAATCTGGCATTGCGCTGCCTAGAAAAACACCATCTGGGATTATTCGATCTGGTTCCTTTTAAGTAATTGGCTCCCCGCCAAGCTAATGTGGGAGAACAGCACACAGCGGAGGAACAATCTCTCTCGCCCACCCGCCAAGACGAGACCCCTTGGAAATTGCAGCCAGGCTAATTTGCAGCCCTTGAAAACATCTGGCAAGTGAAACATGCCATGTGTGGAGACTGGGGTGTTTTTTCAAAGGAACCCACTTGGGCCAGGGAAGGTGTCCCTGGCGATGGGAAGCCAACGGCTGGCATTGGGCAAGGCTCCTGTGGTTGAATCTCGATGGGCACAAACTGCACCATCCAGGCTTAATAGGGAAAGGTTTGGGAGAAAGCCGGCCATTTGCAGGAGGTAATAAATCTTTTTGTTTTGGGCTCGGGGAGCGCCAAGGCGAAGGAGAATCTTGAACAGCTTAATGAGAATTAATCACTTTGGGTTGACTGGGAAAATTACTTTATGCAGGTAGGAACTAGGGCATGGCTGGTGGGTGGATCTCTTGCAAAGACGTGTTCCCGTTGCAATATTTTTGGGTGTTAGCCCACCTGCAAATGTTAGGAAGGGAAAAAGAAGCAACTGGAGGGGAACTTTCTGAGCTTGGTGGTTTTCTTGCAGATGTTTCATTACCCAAACCAGGCAACATAATCAGTGCACTCTTCCCTCCCCTTCCTTTTTGTCATAACCCCACTCCCTTCTGGTACTGATGTTACCTAGTTGGGTAATGAAACGTCTGCAAGAAAAGCACCAAGCTCAGAGAACAAAAGGATGCCTCATTTCAACCCTGAGATACAAAAATTATGTATTAGCAGCATCCTATTCAGACAACGTGGCTCTCTGCCAACTGCTGATGGTCCCAAAACTGGAAGGTGGTGGATACAAATCCAAGGGCAGGCCCCTTTTGTGAGTATGCGGTCACATTGTACCCTCTCACTTGGGCATCTCTCATTGGCACCAGCCACATATCCTCCCTCTCTTTGGAGGTTGGAGACAAAGGGCAAAGGGGCAAAGCCATCTGACCCAGGAGGCAAACATTTCTACGTGAAAATGGGAAGTAGCTGATTGGCACGGCCTCAAGGCCATCCTGTCACAGGGCAGCAAAACATATTTGAGAATTTGTAGCAGGAAACTTGCAAACAGTGCAGCACTGTTATATTGGCTCCCTGGGAGATGGAAGGATGCAAACTCATTTGTATTAATTTTATTTTATGCTTATCTCTTGCCTGCCTTCGGAGAGAATAGACAGCCAGGCAAAACAGCCTCACATTCAGACTCCAATTTATGGAAGCTTCTGCAAGACAGGGCTTTAAATATTGCAGCGGGTTCTATCCTAGTCTTGGGTCACTTGTCTGGTCCTTTTCACAAAGGACTCCTCCAATGGCATTGCCCACAAGGGGCCCTAGCAACCCGCTCTTGACTTGGACTGGAGTTCTCAACGGGAGGGTCACACAAAATAAAAAGCACACTGGCAAACACACCTTGGAGCAGCCTCCTGCGCACGGTAGCACACACCACGTTGTAGGAACACAGTTGCACGATTTCTTTTGGCAAGTCGGCAAAGCCGACTCGAACAGAGGAAGCAGACGTGTTCAGCATGATCCTAACAAAGGTGAGGTTTGTTTGTGTTTTTTGGGGGGGAGCAGAAGGGGAGAGAAAAATCCCATATCAAAAGAGTGAAAGTCAAATCAAGGCTAGAGTAAATTGTGGGGAGAGGAGAAGCGTGCTCCCAAGATATTCCAAAGGGCGGCTGACGTGGCACGCAGCCAAGCCTGGGACGGTTGGCTCCGATGCCGAAGCTTAAAAGGCTGTCTGGTTGAATTAGGATCTATTCTCTCCCCTCGGCAAAAAGGGTGAGCTTATAAAAACGCTGCAGCGGAGGAAGGCCTGTCGGTTGCAAATCCCCAAACTTCCTACCATTGCAAACAGCACTGTGAAATTCCAGTGTTATAAAACCAGGGCCAGGAAAAGAAAAGGAAAAAAAGGGGGGGAGAAAAAAAAGAGAGGGGAAGCAAAGCACCATTGCAAAGATCTCCTCTCGCACGCCTTGATTATGCTGTATTGAAAGATGGAGCCACTGACAATTACCCCCTTCTCTCTTTGGTATCAAAGGATGGTGTGGGTCTGTCTCGAGGTGCAGCAAGTAGGGAGTTTAAAATAAGAGAAGCACGAGGTGTTGCTCCGCTAGTTTATGGCCTCCTTTTTTTCTCAGCGGTTCCAGCCAGCAGCCATGACTTCCTCCCTCAAGATTTGGTATGGACGAAATCTGGATTAAAGAAACTGCTGGAGAACTCCAAACCATGTTATTACCCCTGGATGCAAAAGGGAGGAGCCCAAAAGCTTTGAGGAAGAGGAAAACGTAACCTCACCCACCCCACTTTGTGTAAGAAGGGCTGCAGGAAGGAGGCCGGTCTCATAGGAGACGCATCCAAGGTTTCCCAAAAATATTCCAAGACGGCAGAGGATGAGGAGAAAAGGGAAGAGGTGAGTGCCAACTAAAATTAAGCTCTGGACATGTTTTTTGACCAAAAGTTTTAAAAAAAAAAGCCAACCCCCTGCCGAAATCCACAATTAAAAGTGACGATGGATTATGACGCATAATAAAAAAGGGGGTTCCGTTTTGACTAGCTTTATCAAACAAACTTTGTTAAACTTAACAACATAAAAGAGTTGGAAGGGACCTTGGAGGTCTTCTAGTCCAACCCCCTGCTCAAGCAGGAGACCCTAAATCCATTTCAGACAAATGGTTATCCAATCTCTTCTTAAAAACCTTCAGTGTTGGAGCACCCACAACTTCTGGGAGCAAGCCGTCCCACTGATTGTTCTAACTGTCATTAATTCCAGGTTGCTTCTCTCCTTGATTACTTTCCACCCATTGTTTCTGTCCTGCCTTCAGGTGCTTTGGGGACTAGCTTGACCCCCTCCTTCTTTGGGGCAGCCCCTCAATTATTGGAACACTATCATCATGCACCCCTAGTCCTTCTTATCACTAGACTAGACATACCCAATTTTTGCAAACAGTCTTCCTAGGTTTTAGCCTTCAGTCCCTTAATCATCCTGGATGCTCTTTCTCTGCCCTCTTTTTTGTACTCTGCCCTCTCATCTCACAATGAAAATTGCTGGCTGGTTGCTGGGAAGGAGGGAGCAGAGAGGGCCTTTCGTGGGGAGAATCTGAGGAGGGAGGCAGAGCAGAGCACAGAGGAAAAAAAAAAGAGGTGCACGTGCACATATGAACGAGGAGCAAGCAATGAGAGGTTCTTGGCAGATTAACAGTCCTGCACTAAACTGTTCAACACCTAAAGGGCTATTATGGGGTCTTCCTCGACCAATTGTCACAATAGCATAATTTAAGGTTATGCCTTCCTTTTCTATGTCTGAGGGGCTCGAGATCTTCGCCCCCCCCCCCAGTAAATCCTGCTTGTGTTATCAATGAACACAAAAAAACAAGATACACAGGAGAGCTCGTAAAACTGTATTTTCCCACCCCATTCAAGATACATTTTAGCCCTCCAGACGTTTTACAAAATAAGACACGCTCACTTTGCTTTTCTCAGCCGTTTGGAAACGCCGATCACACCACAGCCTATTAGCCACATTCCCTCTTCAACCCATCCAGACACCAGATTGAGCCTTAAATGGGCTTTCTTGAGGACCATTCCTCCCCCCCCCCAAAGGACATTTATACTGTTGGCACCGATCCTGGGTTGTTGGCACCAGTTGTTCGACATCTCTTCCCTATACAACAACAGAAGGACAGCGCTGGAAAAAGGGCTGGAGGCAGAGTGAGTAGCCTTTTGAAACTGCTTCACGGATGGGTTTTGGAAGGGAACATCTACAGCAGGCTGGAGAGAAGCACAGTGCAGTTTTCACAGAATGAAGAGCAAATGATTAAAAGAGAGTATTGTTGAGGGTGGAGGGTGTGTATGTATGTGTGTGTGCCGAGTTTTTGGGGGAAGAGCACCACCGAAGGATATTAAAAAAAAAGAAGAAGTTAATGAAACAAACAAACAGCACCAGGCGATGGTGGGATTTAAGTTGGTCCCGAACACAAAACCACAGTCCAAATTGTACCTTTTATTGAAAAGGAGGGTTAGACACAAACATTGGTTTGATCTTCTGGGGAAGGCAATTTCCTATAACGCAAAGAAGGAAATCTGGAGTCCCTACTGTGTGGAAATTTAAGTATAACCTGAAAAAGAATGTGTCCTTTTCAAAAGCCAGCCTTCTGCATCCATATTTTTAAGAAAACCAAAAAGGCCAAAACCCCAACTTTCTAGAGGAACTTAAATTTTACTGTTAAGGGTAAACTATATTTATTGTTGATTTCCCCAGTGGGTCACCAATGGGTGCCCAAGAAATGAAGCTTCATTTTCACCAACCCCCACAAATCAATTCTCATTTTCTCCTAGGCTAGTGTTTCTAACCTTGGCAACTTTAAAGAGGTCTGGACTTCAACTCCCAGAATTCCCCAGCCAGCAATGCTGCCTGCCTGGAAGGAAATACGTGGATGAAGCAGCTTTTGGGATCTTAATACTCTGGTCTATAACTAATACTGTGAATTGGTTCTACCACCTAGAGCCATTGAGAGTAAATTTTGTTAACCCCCCGCCCAAAAAAACAAAAAATACACTCAGGAATTAGAGTAAAGAGCTACAGCAAAACAGGTCCAATCTGAAGAGGAGGGTTGCAGATTTTGCAACCTGTCAATGCCGGCAGAGTGTCGGCAAATCTCCTGAGCACAAATGTGGTTTCTTGATTTTTTAAAAAAAATTGGGAAATTTCACCATCTGGGCTTTTGAGCGCTTCCTTTCAGCCTGAAGACCCACCCTAGAAAACCAGAGATTTCCAAGGGAGCAGCAGCCACGGAGGGGCAGATTTTGCAATTGGCTGAAAGTCAGCCATGGCTTTCTTCTGAAAGGCAAGCAAGCTTATAATAAATAGAGCCAAGGATCTGCCTCTCCCACCCTTTCCAGAAATTGCAAAGCGGTAACTAAAACACATGGGTTACCCTCTTCCCCTCTGTCCTCCCCACCCCCACATTCCAGCAAAAAGAAAAAAGAAAACACTGATCTCAGCAAAACATCTACAAGCCTCTCTAACCCAGGCCTCTTCCACTTGCCCACGACCAAGCCCCTCTCCAAAAACACACAACAAGCGTGACCTATATAATAAGCGCTGGCGCCTGAAGGCTTGGCAAGCTGGGCATCAGCAACCATTCATTAAAAAAAAAAAAAGGGAAAATTAAACACGAGGGGGTTGGGGTGGGGCTGTTGCATTTCCTTCTCTGAACCTGCCAATCGGTTCGCTTTTTAGGGGTGGAGGTAAGGGCAGGTAAGCCAATCCTAAATGCATTCCCGGAGTCATCCTGGATCGGCGACAAACCTACGGAGCCAAAATAATAGGGGAACAGAACCGACGGCTGTGAAATGCATCCAGGAGGGCTGGAGGGGAGAAGACAAAGAGCATTTCGAGCAGGGGCAGCTATCGCGGGGACACACCGGCTTTAGGAGAGGGCGCAAAGGGACCGAGGGGGTGCCCTTTCATCTTCCTTGACCTGCCTGGCGCTTCGTTTGCCCCCTTTCCAGTTCTATATAGCGCAAAAGAGCCACTCCAGTTACTGTCTTCGGTCTTCGGTCTCTGATCTGGAAAATGCCATCACGCCATCCTCGGCACCTGCGGCACAAAAGGGGAAAAGAGGTTGGCTTCTTTCGTTGGGCACCAACAATGAGGGTAATACGTGTTCTGGATGCCCTCGGGACAGTCTCGCAAAGCCTCAGCCAACCCCCCCGGGGAATTCTGGGAATTGTAGTCTTCATACACCAGACAAGCATCCCACAAATCTGGGGAAAATGCGCCCTTCGCAACACCCAACAGGTCTAAGTAATTTTAAAAGAGCATCTTTAGCCCCCATGCAAAAGCATGGAGTAAATAAAGGCGTAGATCTCATGCTTAGCGGGGTAAATGTACTCTCTGTGGCACCTGCCTTGAGGCAGCCCATGCATACGGAGTTAACGTAGGCATGATAACTGCGTAACAAGCTCTCCAACAACCTCCAGGGCAATTTTCTCCTTCTAGAATAGGCTTTGTGGATGGAATGGCTGTGCTGTTCAGTTCTAGTCTACCTGCCCAGACTATGTTTGCATCTCATCTCTGTGCTCCCCAAGGGATCCGGCTTCTGCTAGAACCAATTTAGCTCTATTGCTATAGCAACCAGAGCTGCCAGAGCCACCAAGGTTGGTCCTGCCACTTCAGTGGAAACCATCCAGGATTCCAGCCGCCCAGGGAACGAGCCAGCATCTCTGCGTGACTCCAACCCTCCCTTTCGTTTCGCAAACATACATTCAGATGTGCCCCAGGCCCTCCTAGAGAGAAGGGTGAAGCAGCGTGATTGGAACAGCTTCTTTTTACTCCCTCTTGAACAGGCAGAGCGCTAGTGCGGGGAAGATCAAAAGAGGCTGAGAAGGCAGGAAGGCTGCCAGCTCTATGCTCGTACGGATTAACACCTCAGCCCTGCTCTTTGGTACTTCTGAGCCAGGTCAAAAGAGCAATCCCAAAGCCTTAGGTTTGCAGTGACCCTGGGTGGTTAGGAGGGCATTCATTCACTTTTATCACCACTATCCCAGCAGCATTTCCAGACAAATCAAGAAGCTCGACTTATCAAGGAACACCTAAACAGAAAACCAAGGCACAGGAAAGCAGGAATTTTGCCCATCAACTACCAACTGGAGGAAACCAGAAGGAATGCTGATTCTTCAGCAGCAGGGAAAAACCAGGTCTATCCATTGCATCCAAACCAGCTCTAGTGGAAATAACATTGGGGAATATCCATAGAACAGAAAGACTATCACAGGTTAGGAGTAATCCTAAATTCCCAGGTCACTTTTGAACAAGCCACAAAGTCAATGGTGTGAGCCACAGCAATTTGGCTTTGAAAGTCAGCTTTCTACACCGGGCATCCTGAGCTTTAAGGAAGACAACACACATTGTTCAAAAACCAGGTGTGTAAATGTGGGAGCATTTTATTCTGTTTTTAAAGAGTGTGCTGCCATCTAGCGGCTAACCCTTCCATTCGGTTGCTGGATTTCAGTCTTCTGGCTTTCTTCTTTCATTGAGGAAATGCAGAATATTTATTCACCTCCCTAATGAGCATTCTGTGTTGTCCATCTATGGATACAGTTATTAGTTGGATTAAAACCATTGATAAAGAAATGCTACTAGTCCAACATGCTTTAACAGGACAAAGTAATGCACTTCAAACACGCCCAAGCTATCCTTAGGCGAAAAGTAGTTAGTTTCATCATCATCTTCTTTTAATGACCCCGTAATCCCTTGCGGGGTCTGAATGGAACTGAGTGTTTACTGGCCAGATGCCTTTCCTGTCGCCAGGGCGGAGTTATATTCAGCAGATGTATTCTCAGTGTGCTCAGAGAGAGAAATGTCTGCCTCTACCCAGGATCAAACTCACAGCCTCCTGATTGTGAGGTGAGAACTTCACCTGTAGGCCACCACACCACTCCGCAAAAAGTAGATAGTTTGAAATCCATTAAATATATCAGTAGCTACACTGTGCTTCAGTTTGGATACCCAAAGCAGTATATACAGTAAGTAATAAACATACTAATGGAGAATCCTGGTTTAACATTAAAAGGAAAAAAAAACCACCATATTATGGGTGGTACAGGGAAGAGAATGAGACTGCTGTGCATTTAGTATTTTTGTCCTTTTCAAAATCAATTAAAGTGCTTCCGTGTTAAGTCATTTGTAGCAAAAAAAAAAAAAAGGTATAAACTGTTACTCACCTTGGTCAATAGAGTGCTGAGGAAGTTGGCTAAGCTGGCTATTCACTACTCCCACATACGTCCGTAGGAACTCCTCTTCACTGCTGGTTAACTGGAAAAGGGCAGAACAAAAGCCAGCCCCCATTAAAAGGCCAGGCAGACTTGCCGGCAGATCAGTTATCCACCTGCTTGCTATTTAAGTTGGCGGCTTATTTATTTACGTACTTATCTTTATTTATATCCCACCTTTATATTTTTTGTAGGTAACTCAACGTGGAGAACATGCCTCTTTCCTCCTCCTCCTCCTCTTTTCCCCACAACAACTCTGTGAGCTGGGCTGAGAGAGATGGGTTGGTCCAAAGTCACCCAGACAGTTTTCATGCCATCAAGTGGAACTAGAACTCCCCGTCTCCCAGTTTCTAGCTGGTGCCTTGATCGTTAGACCAGTGGGTGGGTGGGTGAAAATGGCACAAGTAGCCCAGGGAATGATCCTCAAGATATTGCAAACAAGTTATCTATAATGATTGGGATTAATACTAATCCCCCAAGGTTGTGGGGATTACAGAGGGATTGTCTTGGAAATAACTTAAACAGTTCCTTTGGTGGCTTGCAACACATAAAAATTACCTTCGAGAAACTCGGAAGGCGAACCTGGAAAACCAGAAGATAAAAATTCTGGGCTATTAATGCTAAAAATTCCTGGCATGGATACGTACGTTTGATCCCATCTTTCTAAGCATTAGCAGGACTCTCACTTTCTGCTGAATGTACATCTCCTCCGGACTCTTCCCCGGAACAGCCTCACGGTTCATTCCCCTTTTTTTCCCAGTTTTGAAGGCTTCTGAAGAGACGATGAGACAAATAATATTAACTTTACTAGATTAATCCTGGGTATGGGAGAGATTCTGCAATGCCAACTGATAACCACCATCGGTATGAGGACTTCTTCACTTCTGTCCAGGGCAGATACTTGTCTGCATGCCCTTCGGTTTGGTGGGTTATCACATTCTTCTTTGTATGGGAAGAACTTCGAGCAGAAATTAGATGGTGACTGGCCAGAGACTTTTAGTAGATCCTGCAATAAGCAGGGGACTGGACTAGATAACCTTTTAAGATTTCTTCCGATGTGACTGAAATGATTCCATAAACATAGAAATAAGGCCTCTTTTTCACTGTATTCACTCAAAACAAGCCATACATTTAGGGTTTCCAAGTTATTTGCTGCCACTTTCCCAGCCCCAAAAAGTAATGACAGACTTACCAGAATACTTGATTGTGATCTCTTAGCCTGGAAATGCCACAAACAACAACCCTGTGAGAACAAAGCAACAATTTTTAATAGACATCCCAAACTAGTTCTAAATATGTTAAATATCCCATATTTGTTCAAGCCTTGTCTGGCGAAAAATGCAGGTTGTTCTCTACCCCGTGTTTGAACATTCGCTCTAATTAGTTTTGTTCGTCTAATGTTAAATTAAACGTTTCAGTTCCTGGAGGAAAACTTCTGTCATGAAAAACGGGAGGACAATTAAAAGAAGAAGAAGAAAAAAAACAGTTCATTTCTTGGTAATAAAAGTAGTCAAACAGGAAGAAGGGGATGCCTGCTTTAACGAAAGCTGTTTTACAGTCAGGAAAACTTTTGGTCAGAATAGCTTCACAAAGCTGATAAGACACGTGTATGTAAACACATTGCTAAACCCACAATAATTTTAGCGACCAGCAAAATGGCATAATTTGTGCAGCCCGCATAAGGTCTTCTCAGGCCCAGGCATCCTAGGAGATTAATGCCTTCCTTCCTTGAGGAAGAGCAGTTCCTGAAGTAACAGAAAAAAAGATAATAGAGTAGAATAGAATCTGTTTATATAACATGCTTCATCTCGCCATCAGGGTTCAGACAACATACTGCACTACAAATAAATCTGCAGGACTGTTGGATAGAGACTTGGCCGAATGGTCACAGCTGCAATGCAGAAATCGTGGCCAGCCTTGTTGAGATCCACCAGAAATTGATGTGATGTGGAACTGCTCTAAACCTCAGATGAGGCCTGCTTTTAATGGTGCCATTTCATAGGGGGAGCTCACATACTAAAGCACTTCTCTGAAAGTGCACATTTATTATTAATACCATTGCTGTGCCATCCAATCCTCCTGACTCTGGATGGTGAGCAAAAATTCACTGCACAGTTTTAATCCGTCAATTTGCATAGGCAAAAATGCTTTGATACTTGTTTCCTACAAGGAGGGCAATTTTACAAGTACAGTATAGGCAGCCTGAGGCAGAGTCAGATACATCAAAATTACGGTAAAATCCTAGACAAAATTAAAAGCCCTGTATTAGGTCTCAGCTTCAGAGGGTTTTCTGCCTGGCTTAGAGGTTTTTGTCCCAGTACGGATGTTGGGATTTTTCCTATGGCTAACCCAGATAATCTGGGTTTTTTAATTTATTTGTTTCAAGTGAAGTTGCAAAATGTTTAGCATTGCTCACCATAAAGCAATCCCATGGATGGGATTTAAGCGACTGGGCTTAATGGATTTTATCACCCACCCACCCAATAAGCTGGCTACGAAGCAAAACTGCTTCTGCAAAACTACAGGTAGTCCTCAACTTACAACAGTTCATTTAGTGACCGTTCAAAGTTAAAACGGCAGTGAAAAGATGATTTATGACCATTTTTCACACTTATGACAGTTACATCTGTCATAAGTTACGGTCACGTGATCAAAATTCAGATGCTTGGAAATTGGCTCATATTCATGACAATTTCTATGTCCCAGGGTCATGTAATCAGCTTTTGTGATCTTTTAGCAAGCAAAGTCAATGGGGAAGTCAGATTCACTGAACAACAGTGTAACTAAGTTAACTGTAACGATTCACTTAACAACTGTGGCAAGACAGGTCGTACAATGAGGCAAGGCGCACTTAACAAATGTTTCACTTAGCAACATACATTTTGGGCTCAACTGTGGTTGTAAGTCGAGGATTGCCTGTACTGCTCCTTCTAGAAATGTCCATGGCGCCAGGAAATCAGAATTCACACAGTTTCTCCCACAGATGTTTTGCTTAATGGAAAGCAACAATCAGATTCAAGTGCACCCTTAAAACACAGTAAAAGTTATAAATTGTAGAAGCACACAGCTACATGAATACGTAGGCAAGCAAGCTATTACCCAGAGAACTTCATCTGTCACTACTGATAAAATAATCAAGTATTATTATTTTTTGCCTTCAGCCATCCTTCCTATTGGTTTGAGCGATGGCATATTATTGTCCTCCTTCCACATACAGCTTGACTGTGAAGGAGCTTGCTTTTTTTTTTTTTTTTTTAAATCCCCATAATTTTACAAGGGAAGCTTGGGGTTTCAGTTAAAAATTGAAAAGGCACAGTTAGCTTCAACTGCCAATGAACTTATGCCCAGGTATAGATATTTTGAGGGTAATATTGGCTGTGTGTACTGTCGATGGTTATAGTCCTAGAAGCAACCAGCAATGTTTAAAAAGACAGCTGTACAACAGCTGATCTAATGTGCGCTGCCTGTCTAAGCTAATACAAAAATCACACACACACACACACAGAGTGCTGAGTTGTTTTCTCAAGGTATTACCCCAAGATTAAAGAAGATTAAACCTTCATAGGACCTTTAATAGTTAACAGTATGGCTATACTTAATGAGGGCATAAGAGCTGCTGCCTTGTTTCACAAGAAAACCTTCCAATAAACACTGGAGCATTGAAATTAGAGCTCCCTTGTCTCCCCTCCTCATGTATACACTCCCCCCCAAATTCATTCAGTCTGATTCATGACCTTGAACCACAAGTAGACTGAGACTGAATTAATTCACATTTCTATAGGGGTGTCCATACAGTTGTCCATTTATAAGTGAACAGTAAGATCCGGACATTTTAAAATTACAAGCTTGTTTCCACCATGTTTCCAAGGGCTACTTTAAATTTTAGACAAAGTATGCACAGTTCTTATTTTTAAAAAAATTCAAATAAGCAGCAGTTAACCATACTTTTAAAAATCTTTAAATCCAAAACAGGAAAGTGGTTCATTTCCTGGATATGATCCTTCCTTTTTCATAGCTTCTTTCACAGAAGGTTTTGACAAATGGTGAGGGCGATGGTGCAATTAAATTCAAGAAACACCCCCCCCCCCAGGTAACTTTGTTGGATCAAATGGAAACCAGATACCCATGAAGTATTGTTATTCTTCTCTTCAGTCCTTGAATTATATGCAAGCTATTCTTTATACAAACAATGACCTACACAAGGTTTCCTCCATTGTATTCCAGGTCAACGAATTGATGTTTCTAGCCTTCTTAAGGTTAGTATTAATTCCCAATCGAGGTCAGGAAACAGGAGCTGTTAGGAATCTTGGAATGTTTGTTTAATATGCTCAAAGTATTGTAACAGAATATTGAAAGTTTTGCACAATCGAGGCCCAGAACTCAAAATACCTTTTCTACAAAAGCTCAATACTGTTGTCCTCATTTTCCGAGTCAAATCAATATCCCATCATAATTCCAGATAGGAAAAGTACAATTTCATTCCACCTTCAGCCTTAAAAGTTGAAGCTGCTGCAGGTAGATAAACCATTCAGCCGTCAAAACTGTACCGAGGTGGCATTTCAAGCAAGTCGCATGGTATTTAAACTACTGCTGGGTTTTGTCAATAAATATTCTTGGTAATTGTATTTATGTTAGTTTATTATAAATATGCTTTCTTATACAGGAAGTTATTTTTTTATCATACATAACAAAAATCAAATTATTTTTAACCATGAGAAAAGCTCAGGAAATATGTCAACAGTCCCTGTTATTTCAAAAGTGAAAATTCTTGTTTTTACTAAGAATTGATATGGATAATTAATACTCCTGAATGTAAGACCAGAATTAATGAGAGACAAGTTAACGTATCTTTGCTCACCTTAATCTATATACAGGCATTATCTGAGTATGGCTCTGAGGAGTGCCTTATCTGAAAAGATTTAGTAATCTAGAAACACAAACACACACCAGATATAAAAATACCCACGTGCAAGACATTTAACTGTTAAAACTGTCAAATAATGTAACTCATGCTGATTTTGTCTACAACTAAAATAATTAAATCAATGCAGAGAAATAGGATTTCACAATGAGAAGTGAGGGGTTTAGGGCAGTGTAATATTAATATTTCTGCATGATCCAATCTGGGTCAGTCATTGTGACAAGAAGTTTAGTCTCTCGAGCTTTTGGACTTGTGCTGGAGGTCATCCTCAGGGAACTTTTCTCTACAGAATGTTGGATCCTGCAGCATTATACCTGGACGCGTATATTTGCCTTCGATCATTAATATTTCTCTCTCTTACCAGCCACCTGTAATATTTATGTTTGGGTATCTTTGGAGTTGCTTTCAAAGGATATTTTAATTATGACAAGTTGGGAAGCTGCTACAAGAATGCCAAAGCAGTATAATGTTCTGCTGTCCCAAATAATATAATAATAATTGCTCATAAATATGTGACAAATTACTAATCAAGCCAAAGTCTTTAGGGGAAAAAAACCCAGGCATTTGTTGAAAAGCAGGGTTAAGCACAAACTCTTAACGAAATGTTAAAAACAACTGCCAGTACTTGATGTGAATAGTCGAAGGTCAAAATTTAATAAATCCATTTTGCCTTCAAAAATTTATTTGCTGCCAACATGTTCCATCTTTCCTGAAATTGTTCCCAATTCCTAATTGTTCCATTTTCCTAATTCTAAACTATTAATGCTTCACATATAGCATCTAGTTATTCCAAACCAAGGTTCCTTACAAAATCAGCAGCAACTGCAGTATGTTGACACTATTAAACAAAACAGGAAGCACACATCACTTCTAATTTCCCACAAGAGGTTTGTTAAGCTCCGCAGTGCAAGCTCTGCATTGCTATTTAATACATGGCCAGGACGGAAATGTGTTATCCACAAGACTAAGGTGTGAGATTCTGAGTTAATCTGCAGACTGCAAGTCTGTGATTCATTTTATAAAAACTAGGCTGCAACTATCGAAAAAAGTAACCTAACAGGGAAGGAAATGTCCTCAGGATAGAGCTGATTTCCTTTCTAGACAAGGGCCAAATGTGAAGCTTCTTTGCAATAAAAGAGTTAATAAGCCCAAGGTAGTAGCCTGCAACAGAAACAATTAAACAACATACACCAAGTACCTACTTACTATATTTACAGATTCCCTTCTGAAACTGCCTAATCAAGAGCTTATCTAAAGGCTTAATCGGTGCTCAATTACTGCAGACTCTCTTTACAAAATGATGAATTATAGTAAAAGGCAGAAGATTAATACAACTATTAAGCTTCGTGCCATAGTCTGCAATTAATCCAGATCTATCCTCAATTTATGCAGGATTAGCATACATGCCATTAAACACTTATCACACTGATTTACTGAGATGTGTCTGCCAACCGAATTGTGCAAAGTATTTGAGCAGAGATGGCCATGTGCATACCACGGGTAACCCTTATAAACAGGGTTTATAAACAGTCTAATTGCTAAAATACTATTATACATCAATAATTCCAATGTTAGGATTCTTAAAGGCTAAGTGTATGTTATCAAAATAGATTAATTTTTCAATATTCAAGTGAGATATGACCCTGTATTTTTAAAGCTTCTACTGACAAGGAGCTTAACTGCCTTGCACATTTCAGAAAAATATCTCTATGAAGAGAAATCGCCCATTTCTTTTGCCATCCACTACTGCAAAGGATGATGAATTAATTAAGCCTATGCTTTATGTGACCAAATGTCTTATAAAACATTATATAAGAATTCTAGCCACCAACTGAATTAAAAAAAAATGCTTTCAAAAATGTTATAGAAACACAACTAAATTTGGCATACAACTCGACAGTGAATGCATTACAGGTAGTCTTTGACTTACAACCACTATTGAGCCCAACATTTAGGTTGAGAAATGAGACATTTGTTAAGTGAGTTTTGTCCCATTTTACCAGCTTTCTTGCCACCGTTGTTAAGTGAATCACTGCAGTGGATAAGTTAGTAACCCGGTTGTTAAGTGAATCTGGCTCCCCCATTGACTTTATTTATTTATTTTGTCAAACAATTATTAGATAACAGGTATAAGTATAAACATGGTTATAAATACATGAAATAGATACGAATAAGAAAAAAAAGAAACCATAGGACAGGGACGGTAGGCACGTTTTGGTGCGCTTATGCACGCCCCCTACAGGCCTCTTAGGAAAGGGGTGAGGTCAATAATAGACAGTCTTTGCTTGTCAGAAGATCTCAAAAGGGGATTGCGTGGTCTTGGGACCCAGGAGCAGTCATAAATAAGAGTCAGTTGCTCAGCATCTGAATTTTGATCACATGATCGCTGGAAAAGCCGTAACTGTTAAAAACGGTAAATAAGTCACATTTTTCAATGCTGTCGTAACTTTGAACAGCCACTAAACCAACTGTTGTAAGTCAAGGAGTATCTGTACTCTGGTTACATGACTTAAGTTTCCATGGCTTTTACTGTGCTCCACAATGAAGACTTATTTTTCCACTGAAGACTTATTTCAATCCATTAAAAAAAATAGGACCACACTTTTCTTACAACGTATTGAACAGTCAAAAGCAGACAGGGCAGGAGTGAGTGAGTGAGGATTCCTTCCGAGTTCTACATTCTGTACTTAAAAGCACAAACTTCAGGTAATTTAAACGTACCTCTGAAAACACAGCCAAGTGACAACACGCACTAAGCTAAAACCTAGAACAACACTCAGGATGGGAGCGGCAGATACTGTAATCGGCTCAGGCTATTGTTCTTCCAGTTTAGAACTGTTTTGACAGGCAGAAACTCTTTAAGGATCTTGGCTAGGAAGGCACCTGGCATCTCCTCTCTAGCATCTGATTTTTTTTTCCCCCACTTAGACATGACCAGAACTGAAGCTGGAATCTTTTATGTGCAAAGCACATACTCTTAAAACTGAGCTACTGGCTTTGTCCGAAAGAGAATACTGTATCCAAGGACCCCAGAGCTGTTTCCTGTCATAGACTGGAACCCCTTTTCTCTGCCATATAACCAAGCTTCCTGCCCTAAACTTGGCTGAGCGAGAATCTGTGTCTGGATATAAACTCTCAAGGCCATGTCAATTTTCCAGCTGGTGTATAAATATATGAGGGTGATCAATTTTGAGAACTTGGTTAGGATGACGGGCGGGGTGTGGAAGCAGGCAAGGGCACCCAGGGTGGCGGCTGCAACTCCGCTGCCAAAGTTGAGAACTCAAGAACAATTAAACCACCACTGTAAAAACCGCACACAACCCTCCTCCAAGAATGGTAAAAATTGTGCTGTATTTCAAGCTAGACAGCAGTCCATAAAGTTAACATCATTGCCCAGAGGATCATGGGTTGCCCTCTCCCCTCTTTGGAAGAGCTTCATAGCTCCCGCTGCCTAAGAGAGTTCAAAACATCCTTAAAGATCCATCTCATCCTGGGCACCCTTTTTTTTTTTGAACTATTACCATCTGGCAGACAGTACAGGACAATTAAAAACAAGGGTAAATAGGCTGAAAAACAGCTTCTATCCCAGAGCAGTAAAATATATTGAATTCTATTGTATAGAATTCAGAGCGAGGAAGTAGGGAATGCTGCGGGTCCCATCCCTGAGGGAGATACACCAGGTGGGACCTAGAAGAAGGGCCTTCTCCGTGGTGGCTCCCTCTCTCTGGATCATCATTCCCCCAGAGATTAGAACCACCCCCCACTTTAACACTCTTCCAGAAGGCACTGAAGACCTGGTTCTGCCAGCGGGCCTGGGGAACCCATGAAATGGCTTGTGTGATCTGCTGTCATCGGGGCGGGAGCGGGTGGCAGTTGGGTGGTGGTGGTGGTTTTGTTATATTGTACTTTATTAATTTATCTGATTCGTTTTTATTGTGGTTTTATATTCTGTAAGCCGCCTTGAGTCGCCAATGGGTGAATGGGCGGCAATATAAACTCAATCCAATCAATCCATAATGCAATTATGATATATGCAGTATCAGGGGAGGTTTCAATTCTATTGCATAGAATGCGAAGGATGCACCTTCGTGTTTTATTTTTTTAGAGTTCGAAGGTGCCCTGAAGATGGCATTTAATTTCATTGTACGAGGAGGGGCAATGACAATAAAATAAACTAACTATTAAGCGGTGGATTGAAGCAACTTTGGGGGGTGGGGAAGGGAAGGGAAGGAGAGGCTGGCACACACACACACACACACACACACACACACCCCTCTCCCGGAAACCAGAAGCAAGAGTGACTCCATGTTGGAAAGAGACAAAACACACAGCGGGAGGCGGGGAGGAAAGAAGAGAGAACGGCCGTTGCGGGGGGGGGGGGGGGAAAGGGGGCGATGGCACCCTCGCGGGCGCGCACGCGCAGACGCCGCCGCCAGCGCGCGCCGCCTTTTGTAGGGCGGGGTGAGGCCGAAAGGCGCTTACCTGAGGCGGTGGGTTTCTGCCTTTTTTTTTTTTTGGGGAGGGGGAGGGGGGGGTCTTTGATGAGGGAGGGGGCGAGCCTCCCCCCTCTCCGTTGGCGTCTCCGGGAGCGGCGAAGAAGCCAGGCGGGTTCCGTGAGGTGAGACGCCCGGTTGCGCCGGAGAGCGGCTCGTGTGCGAGCGAGCGCCTGCCTCTTCTGCTGCGCCTCTTCCTCCTCCCTCTGCCGTCGTGACTCAGAGCGGCGGCGACCGAGGGAGGGAACGGAGGAGGAGGCGCCTGGACGACTCCAGGAGGAAGGGAGGGAGCCGCCGCCGCCGCCGCCGCTCCAAACGCGGCCAGCCGCTTCGCCTTCGGGCGGCAACATCGCGACAGCAGAGCGCCTGAGGTAAAAGGGGCGGGGCTTCGAGGCCATGGGAAAAGTGCGAGGGTGGGCGGGCCGGAGGAAAGAGGGCGGGGCCGGTTGGGGGGGGAAGGAAACAAACGACGTCCCTCGCGCCGCGTGAGGGGGGCGGGGCTTCGAAGCGGCGGAATGAATGGAAGGGCGGGGCTTGTGGGGGGGGGGTGTCCCGCCCTCGTGGGAAATAACTGCTTATCCGACGGCTGCCCATTCTTAGCGACCCGCATGCAGAAGAGCGGTGTTGCCCAACTTTTTAAGTGTGGACTTCAACTCCCGGAATTCCCTCAACCAGCCGTGAAATTAACACAGTGGGAAGGGATCTTGTAGGTCATCTAGTCCAACCCCAACCCCCTCCCCAAATCATGCCGACTGGGCAATTCTGGGAGTTGAAGTCCACACTTTAAAAAGTTCCCATGGTTGGAAAACTGTGAAGTAGACAAGATATTCTCCAGGAGGATCTGGTCCTTAGGAAATCTGATCTTCTGCCTCTTCTGGTGGTGCCCCCCCCCAATCGCCACTGGTTAGAATATACAATATAGAACAAGGGTCTATATTGGCAAATTTTGAAGACTTGTGGACTTCGACTCCCAGAATTCCCGAGCTAACATGGACAGGAGGAGGAATTCTGGGAGTTGAAGTCCACAAGTATTAAAGCTGTCAAGTTTGAAGACCCCTGATATAGAATAACAGAGTTGGAAGGGACCTTGGAGGTCTTCTAGTCCGACTCCTTGGTCAGGCAGGACAGACAAATGGTTATCCAACATCTTTTTCAAAACTTCCGGTGTTGGAGTATTCACAATTTCTGGAGGCAAGTTGTTCCACTGATTAATTGTTCTCACTGTCAGGAAATGTCTCCTTAGTTCTAGATTGCTTCCCTATGACTATCAGTGTTGTACCTTATGATTCTTGACTTTTGACGAATGTATCATTTATGTATACTGAGAGCATTTGCACCAAGACAAATTCCTTTTGTGTCCAATCACTCTTGGCCAATAAAGAATTCTATTCTATTCTATTCTATTCTATTCTATTCTATTCTATTTGCTTCTCTTTCCTTTCCTTCCACTTTTCTCAGCATTATAGCATTCCCCTGAAATTATTTTCTAGGAATAATCTTTGATATGGTGTGTGTGTGGGGAAGACAAATGTAAATGAATAGTAAATAAATAAGTGTATGTAAGCATTTACTCTTGAGTCATACAAGAAAAGCAGGGAGTTGGACTAGAAGACCTCCAAGGTCCCTTTCAACTCTGTTATTCTGTTAAATCTCAATTTTAATCCCCAATATGCACAAACGAAGTTAGTAGATAGTTCTAACTGGAAAGTCAGTTTAGTGTAGACTGCCATTCTCAACTTTGGAGTCTTCTAGAAGGGTTAAGAGTAGAAACTCTCATCAATCCTACCCAACATGACATGATGAGAATTAAGCTTTAGATATCTGTGGATCAGTTTCATTGGTAAATATATATTTATATCACACACACACACATTGTGTGTGTCTGTATCTGTAAGCATCTAGTTTATAAATTACACATAACATTACAATAAGTCTGCAATCCACTGAAATGGGCATAAATTATCTCCCCACTTTTGAAGGACTGATCTATTATAACAGCATAGAATTTATTTCAAGCTATCGGTTTCCATGTAATAGGTATGTAAACTTCAGACCCACATAATATTAAATCTTTCTTAGAATAAGTTTCTCTTCAAGTCAAATAAACCACCTTTCACGTGCTAATTGGCCGACGGCAGGGAATAAGGTTATGGCGGGAATCTATGACAATCTTACCAAGCTTAGAGATTGACCTGTTTTGAGATTGTTCCGATGAAATCCATAAAAAATGTCAGATAGAAAAACTGGGGGGACCTGCAAGGGGCATATTTGCCATGTTACTCAAAAAGTCTCCCCCTGTTTTTGGTTGAACATTTCATCCAATTCTTTATCCGAGGCTCACCAAGAGGTAAGCTTGCTTAGTTGCCTTGCTCCTTTCCTCTCCTTCCTGTCAGTCCCAGAAGGGAACATTCTGCACTTCCCAAGTTGTGTTTTAGCACTTAAAAAGGACATCAAAGCCCAAAGACTCAGGAATTGATAACCTGTGTCAGCTTCCGAAGACCTTAAGATGAAAGCCCTTAAAAAGAGCAAAAGCGAACAGCAGACAGGAACTGGAAGGATGCATCTATGCTGCGATCTGAGACCACTGTGAGCACGTACACAGGGAACAGTAGGCAGTAATGACAATTAATTATTTAAGAAGCGCTGAAGGCTTTCGTGCAGGCTGCGAGGAAAAAAGGGGGCTTGGAAGCATCACTCTGGGATCCTTCGGTTGGAGGCTCATTAATTAGCATGCTGTGTGAAGGAAAGAGGAGTCTGCCGCTATTTCATGTTCATCTGAGGAGGAAGATTTGCAATTAAGGCATCTGTTTGCCTTTTATAACTGACCAAGAGGCCTTTTGAAGGTAGTTACAGGCTTCAGACACTGTTTCAAAAGATGCCATATGGCCTGCCTTGTCCCTGTTTGGCTGATTATGTAATTGCTGAAGGAGACGACTCCGCTCGCCTTTAGAAAGCTCTCAACAACAAAAACAGGCATCAAACTGATGGCAGAGTTGAAAGGTTCATGTTTAAAACAAAGCGAGGTTCAAAATCGAGGCGCGAATTCCGAAGCCAACAAGTTGCTTCCATCCCTTCCAAGCCCACAGAAACTTCAAACTGCATCCTTCTGCATGGTTCTCTTTCAGGGGATGCGTGTACAACTCTTAACATTAGACAATGCATAAGATCCACCGCTCGGGTAATTGGCTTTGGATAAATCCTAAAAAAACACCTATTATTTGGGGAAAACTTTAAGGCAAATTGTTATGAAGCTAGAAAATCAAATGGATGCCTCTTTGATTTATTAAAAAAATCTTATTTAAAAGGTATGGCATTCTAACATTTAAGATTAAGATTAAAATAATCTCACCATGTCAAACTATCTTATTTTACATGTTACTATATCATTAAGTATTATACATAAATACTGAAAAAAATAAAGAAAAGAGGCTTGCAAAGGAAAGCAAATAAACCACTTAAGAGCTAGGAAATTCACAGAATAAGGGCTGAATTTTCTGAAAATGACCAGGTTATAGCAAAGAAGCATTTCATTAAGGAAAGGAGGGAAAACTGAATAGTAGAACAAAGGACATAACATTCACAAAATACAGTTCCTTCTAACCAGTTTTTAGGCATGGAAATTGCCTGAATATTCAGAAATCCAGAAAGAGGTGGGGTTCCTATTTTTCCTAGACTAGCATACAACTCCTTCAATAGTAACACATCTAAGTAGACAAATATTTTAAACTGTTTCCAGACATTACATAATTTAGATTCTTACAGAGAATATTTTAAAAGTGATTAGAATGCTGAATGCCTACTTTAAGAGGCTGTATTTATAACCATTTTAAGCAAAAATTTCAACTGCTGAAGCTAAAAATGAAATAAACTCTACTATTATCTTCCCACAAAATACAATCCAATTCGAATGCCTTGTTTGAAAGCCTTTCAGGTGTTCCTGAAGGACAAGAGGAAGGGAGAAATATAAACGGACCGTGAAAATAAAATACATTTCTCAGAGATGGTTTATTAAAGAGAGATGAGCCATGTGCAAAAAGGAGGGGAGTGCATGCAGAGAGCCAAGCATAACCAAAGAAGCCAGTTCAGAAGGAGCCACCTGTTTAAAGCTGGAGTGACAGTCAGGCGGGCTCAAGGCACAACTGCACAAAGCAAAGCTTGCTTTGGATCAGACAAACTCTAACCATCGATAACGAGGTTGCCACAAACAGTTGGTCTGCCTAGGCCCTTATTCAGCCATCACAACAGGAACAGTCTTACTATAGAAAGGGGTGGGCTGAATGTTTCCCTGGCACTCTAGGAGCCTTATTTTTCCCTTTTTAACACATCATGTTAAAGCTTGGTTCAATTACTTCGTTGACTAAGTTCCAAGTGACGGGGCTTACACAACCTGCTAAGCAAAACACCGCCAACTATAGCATGACTTAGTGCAACATGGGAACTGGGTTTCCCTTTGGGGGGGGAGGACGTTTTGGGGCCCAGGCGCCTTCCTCCAAAATAGATGTTTGTAAAGCAAGCAAATACAATCACCCCCTTTGTTCCTATTTTAATTAGAGGTTTTCTCAACTGGCTACTCTACAGGTTTAGTTGGAACGGGCTGAAAATAGTTGATAAGATGCAATAATAGCAACACTTTTGTTTCTGAGTGGGCTACTTGGAGCAGAAGACATATTTAGCTGATGATATTGACTTGTTTTCCAAGGTTCATAATGTTGCACGGTTCAAGCTAAAATCTTCATACCAAAAACAGCAGTTTGAGAGGTCTAAAAGAGGCAGGGCACAGAAATCTCTGTTCAGGAAATGGCACAGCCCCCACTCGTACGGGGAGGGCCCCCTACAGCCCCTTTATTTCTAGTTAAGACACCGTTTCATGCTGCCTTTCGAATGTATAGGAAGAACAATCGCTTATAGTTGTAACACTACAAGCTACACAAGGGAAGCCAAAAGGCCCCGCGTCTTTCAGCCGCTTCCCACTGTGCTCCCTGTCATTCCAATGCACAAAGTTAAACTGGCCCAGAAAATTCCTTACAGGGGGTGCTATTGTTCGCCCCTAGCGTTCTTTGCTGTACAGCCGTACCCAGTGACATCAAACAGGCTAGAGAAGAATAGGCAGGCGGCTTGTAGGCAACCTAGGATTTTAGAGAGGCACGATTTCCACCAAGGGCTGCTGCCTGCATTCCACAACCCCTGCTCCCCATTTTAAAAAAAAAAAATATGACCAGTTTTCTGCAAGCAGTTCAACATAGGCAGCTATAGAGATTGAAAGGCTGCTCAAGAGAGAGGCTTTGTCTCATTGTGTGCAACAACTTTACTGGTCAGAGTGCGTCTGACGGACACAGAAGGCGAGGGAGCCAGCCTCTCAGACCTGCACAAAAGCTGACAACAGCAGCAAATTAGGACGTTAATGTTTTTGGTGGATTTTTTTTGTTAGAAAGTACCTCTGTGTTTCAGCTGCAAGATGCATGTTGCTGACTTTGAAAAGGCTGTGGCCTGTTTGTTTTAGATTAACTCCTTAGAATAACAAATATTACAAAAGGTTTGTAAGAAACACACAAATACGTGATTTAAAAAAAGAGTCCAATGCATCTACTCTTGAAAAAAAAAGAAGAGTCTTCATTGCTTTGATTTTTCTACCTCAAAGCTTGCCAGGGCGAAGACTTTATCCCCAGATCCTGTCGTCAAAGGAAAACAAGCAAACAAATTAAAACTCTTTTAGTGTCCCTTCTTTAACAGCAATCTGATATAGGATGTACGAAAGTCCCTTTCTGTTCTATTTTGACCATAAAGTACACTTTTAAAACACCAATTAAGTTTTATCAGGTTCCCCTGGCTGAATAATTTTCCTGAAGTCTAATCAGGTTCAACTGGCATGGCTGTTGGTCAGAGGAGGATGTGAACTCTAAGGGATAATAGCTAAGGGGATCATGGTTTGCATGGTGATTAAGATCAGACATAGGATTGACCCTGTGAGTCTCTATTTTTTGTGATAATACAGGACCTCTGTCAAAAGCAGACAGTGGCTGGAATCTAAGAGTTCGTAAGTGTGAAAAACGTCTATAAGTCACTTTTTTCAGTGCTGTTGTAACTTGGAATGGTCACTAAATGAATGGTTGTAAGTTGAGGATGCCTGTAGATGTTTCTTACCCATTTCTATTTTGTATTTTCTGTTGGGTGTATGTAGCACCTTCTTGCTTGCTGACCTGAATTATGTGAGAGAAACATAGCCAGAAACTAAACTTCATTTAAACGCTCTTAATTGACGTTTGGAGTGAGAAATGGCTGTTTCCTCTCACAGGGTGTGGGACTGGCACTCCTGAGCCCTAAAAGAGTGGCGGGTAGAAAATGAGCTAAAAAGATTTTTTTTTTTTTACCAAGATCAGTCGAGACCTTCTCAAACTGGCTGAGAGCACTTCCTGCGTTCGTTGAAAGGAAAATTTCATCACTGGGGGTCAACTGAAAATAAGGAAAAAGAGAACACGGTTGACTGTATAACATTTATATGGTATCTTTGTGGTCAGTTGAGTCATCTGTCATTTAATGGATTCAGCAGATGGAGAAAAGAACGTTTTACGCTGTTAATGATGTCACGAAATGCTATAAATCAGGGTGTCCAACCTTGGCAACTTTAAGACCTACATGGACCATGTAGGTTGGGGAATTCTGGGAATTGAAGTCCACTAATCTTAAAGTTGCCAAGGTTGGACACCTCTGATTTAAATGATATGAAGAGAGAAAGTTCAACTCTGTGCCTTCATGCAGGAAATAAGGAAGAACAGGAAACTGTCATATTAAAAAAATAATATAACTGGATTTTGTACTATATAATACATATGAATATAGTTAGTTAATCTTACTATCTAGGGCACAACTTCCCTTTCAAGATAAAGTACACCATAAAGTTTCATAAAGCAGAATGGCCAAGCATAATCAACTGATCAAAGGCTACTTTAAAACCTTCTTAACTCTGCTCTGTTCAATTCAAGTACTGAGATCAGACGAAGCAAGAAAAGTCCCGTTTTAATTGAGTCCACCAAAATCAAGTCCTATCTGGGATTCCAGGGATGGTGGTGTCAGGTTAAAGAAGACTGGTCAGAGAGGAAACCCTAGGATGAAGTACGCAAGAGGTGCCATCCTGAAGTACCTTTTCTCCCAGCTTCCGGAGAGCCGTGAGGATTTCCACCTTCTGCTGAGTGTAGAGGTCTCGTCCCAGTTTCCCCACTATCAGGTCTCTGTCCATCTAAGCAGGAAAGGAGAAGTCATATCAGCTTCCAATTACATCCGTGACATTTGAGGATAAAGTTGGCCTGCACCTGTGCCTGGGAATCAGTTATACACAAGAGGGCTGGGGAAGCTCGCCTAAAGCATTTTTCACTTTGCACCAACGTGGCTCTTGGCTTCCAGAATGACACCATTCTCTGAGCAAGAAGACAAAAAGGTTGACATTTCTTCTTCCTGGGTGGCGGACAGCAAAACCGCTTGTGAATATGTTCAAGCTAACACAAATCAGGCAAGACTCTGTATACCAATGCAAGATTTAAGCAACTTGCATAAATTGTACCAACCCCCCCGCTTTCAATAATTTTTAATCGTGCAGGTTTCAATCAATGTATTAAAAAATAAGATTAAAAAAAAAAAGAATGGGAAATAAAATGGAACGTGTCAGCTGGGAGCCCGATTCTCGAAGTGAAATAATTTTGCATTGGGATCAGTCTTGCCAAAAAAATACTTTGTTTTTTTTTTCCAGAAGGCAAGTGGTAACACTCTCAATGTCCTTGACTTATTAAAGAACAGCATTTGTTTGGAAAAAAAGGAAACATCCTCACCTCAGCCAATCTTGTCCTCAACTGGCCAGGCTGTTTTTTGGCAAACATCCTGATGACTTCCGGAGTTTTAAAAGCCTGGCTGATGGCTGCTTGTATAGCCTAAAAAAAATAAAATGTAAATAACTTGTAGCCAAGATCAATAGACAAGGTTACTTCTTGTTACATGGATATAAATATTATCATGAGTTACTTCTATGACTAGCAAGGGGCACTTATTCTCTAAGAAGTTCCTTTGCTATCCACACATAGCATGCTTCCTGTTCATTAGTCACTTAAAAATCAGCCAACTTTTGAAATTTTAAATATTTGAAACATTACTTTATAAAACCAGAGCACCTGTTAACCGCAGTTAAGAGCAACAGTTGGACTGCAGCAAGTTAACATGCCTTCCGTAGTCATTATTATTTTATAACTAATATTATTGCACATATTAGCTCTTTAATCTTGCTGTACTGGACTTGTCAATTCTCTAACTACATTAGAGGTAGTTCTTGACTGATGACCACAATTAAGCCCAAAATGTCTGTTGTTAAGTGAGACATTTGTTAAGGGTTAATTTGTTTTACCTCGTTTTTTACAACTTTTCTTGCCACAGTGAATCCCTGCAATCGATAAACGAGTAAGCCTTTGTTAAGCAAACCTGGCTTCCCCATGGACTCTGCTTGTGAAAAGGTCACAAAAGGGGATCACATGACCTTGGGACACAGCAATAGTCACAAGTATGAATCAAGTGGCAAGCATCTGAATTTTGATCACGTGACCATGGGGATGCTGTGAAGGTCGTAGCTCTGAAAAACAGTCATAAGTCACGTTTTTCAGTGCCGTTGTAACTTTGAACGGTCACTAATTGAACTGTTGTAAGTCAAGGACTACCTGTACATCAGTACTACTGTCTATCATGTGTACCGTCCATCCCCTGGAAGATAAAGAAACGTTGCAAATTCCCTGACTCTGCAAAGCTGCTCTAAAGGGACAAGGCTCAGTCAGGTGACTTTCTGCAGGTGACAGTGTCCAAGGCTTCCAGGGCAAGAGGCTTTAAGTTCCCATCCCTCCATTGCTTCGAACAAAAGGAAAGGGGGTGCCCATTGCGGGAGATATTTGACATACAATCCCCCAAATACTCACCAGTTGCATCCCACCAAGCTCATCTACCAAGGTCATATTGCCAGAGATAATCTTTTTCAAGGAATCGTTGAACTCGCTCAGCTGCTCAAGGGTTTCCTTCTTGGTTTCTTCATACTCACTGACGTCCAGTTCGTCTCTGCAAGGGACCCAATCACAGTATGACTTTAGCTGCCCAAGGTAGTCCTCGACATGCGACCACAATTGAGCCTCAAATTTCTGTTGCTAAGTGAGACATTTGTTCAGTGAATTTTGCCCCATTTTACGCTCTTTTTCACCACAGTTGTTAAGCCAATCACTGCAGAGCTTCAGTTAGTAACACGGTTAAGGGAATTTGGTTCCCATTGACTTTGCTTGTCAAAAGCCGATCACATGACCCCAGGACAGGTCGTAAGTAGGAGTCTGTTGCCAAGTGTCTGAATTTTGATCATGTGACTATGGGGATGCTGCAGTGGTCCTAAGTGTGAAAAACAGTCATAAGTCACATTTTTCACTGCCATTGTAACTTTCAACAGTGACTAAATGAACTGCTGTAAGTTGAGGACTACCTATATTCCCAATCTAGGGTCACTAACCTACCTATAGGAGGAATGGGTAAACAGCAAGGCTACACACAGCAACAAATGGCTTCTTTGGAGCCCCAGAGAATATTTATCTGTGCTTATTGCAAATGGCAATTTTAAGCCGAGACACACAAAACTGATATACTCTTAAAAACAAACAAACAAAAGCATTAAAACGAATCCAAGTGTACACACACACACACACACACACACACACACACACCACTGAATCTCCTTCCCCCAAATCCTGGCTCTCAGCTTGTTGAAAATGACTGTGGTAAATAAATATTTGGTGCCACTAGCTGGGGGACTCTGCAAAATGACTTCTTCCATGTTCCCTTGGGTTTTGTGCAGAAGGTACCTGGTTGCACGTGATGCTTTGGGAGGCCTACCCATGACGCTTGACCGAAGCAGGAGAGCAGTCCTTTTTGCTGAATGCCCCCATGGGTCAGCTGATAAAACTCCGGCCTTTGCCCCATTCCCTCTCATGTTTCATCCAAGGATCCTTCACAGATTAGTCATGTCCCCCCCCCACCCCGTTACCTGCACTCCTCCAGATCCTGCAGCTGTTGCATCAGCCTGTCCAGCTGCTCTTCCAAGTTCTGCTTCAACTTGCTGGTCTCAATGGTTCCCCTCGAAGCCATTTTAAGTCATGCGCTACTCAGGCATCTGTCAGAGACAAAAGCACGATGGGCTAAAAAAATAAAATAAAAAAAAATGACCGGCCCTGCCATAGCATGGATAGGTAAGAAAGAAACGGACTCCCCAATTTGAAAAACAGAAAGGGGGAGAAGGGGCTGCAGTTGAGCGTTTTATTTAAGATCAGAATTGGCGTTCGGGCTGCTCCACAGTAAAATCAATCTCTCTCCCCTCCCTGGAAGGCATTTGGGGGGGCAAGGAAAAAAATGATATTGTCAGGTTTCAGGGATGCACTAACAGTTGCTCATTTTTAAAAAATTTATTTTAGCAATGGGGTTTGTCATGTTAGCCATTGTGCCCAAGGGGGCGGAGGCCTCCTCACCCAAGGCTCCCAGTTCCCGATTCGGCTCAGGTCCAGCGCTTTCGAAGCCCCCGCAGTCCCACCCACCCACCCCTTTTCCTATCCGACAGCCCACTCCCCTTCCTATGAAGCCCCCCCTCCCACTCCCACATGGCCACGACCTGCCCCCCCCCCGCCCATCCCCGCAGGGCCCCTTCTCTTACCCACGCAGACTCCTTCCTCTCCAGCCTCCCCGGGTGGATGAGAAGGCGAACCCCGCCCACTCCCTCAATTAAAACCCCTCTCTCCTTTGGGCAGAGGGGAGAGGGGGAAATCATAGCCGGGAGGACCGTCCCCCTCCCACTTCCGGTTCTGAAACCCGGGGGAACCTTTCTGGGGGTCGGACGCAGCGCCACTTCCTGGCCGGCGAGCCAATCAGGAACGCTTGCTTTCGCTCGCGCCGCTTCTCCGCTTCCGGTGGCTGTTTCGAGTGCGGAGTTTCCGTTCCAGGCTGAAGCCGTTGCCCGGTAAGGGGTCTTTCGGGAACCCCCCCCCGCCTCCCCCAATTTCAGAGGGGTGGGTGGGATGAGTTGGGTGCAGGAGGGGCGGGGTGGGCGATCCTTGCCACGGCAAGCCAGGATAGCTTATTCCGCAGCCTGAAGGGCGATCAGGGGCTAATGTTTTTTAAAAAAAGAAATACAGGCAGTCCTCGGCTTACAACGGTTCGTTTAGTGACCGTTCAAAGTTGTAGTGACAACTTTGAAAAAAAAGGGACTTGGGATCGTTTTTCACACTTACGACCGTTGCAGCCCCCCCCCCTGCGGTCACAGGATCAAAATTCAGACACTTAGCAACGACTCACATTTATGACGGTCGAAGTGTCCCGGGAGATGTGCGATCTGCTTTTGCGACCTTCTGACAAACAAGGTCAATGGGGGAAGCCAAATTCCCTTAACAACCCTGTGTGTGTGTATGTTACTAACGGAACAAATACAATGATTCGCTTAACAACCCTGGCAAGAAAAGTCATGAAATGGGGGTAAAGTCCGTTTGCTAAATAAATTTTGGACTCTATTGTGGTCGTAACTCGAGGACTACCTGTATTAAACGTCTGATTTTTTGCATAAGAAAAGACCAAGCGGTCCTTGGTCTTCAAGATGTAGTTAGACTAGTAAAGATCGACTCTTCTGGTGATGCCCCAAGGCAAGGATGCTGTTGGTGTTACCATCTTCTGGAAGTCATCTTCTTTACCAGTTTAGCTGCGGCTCTCTTATCTGTTGTCTCAGAGAGCTAACAAGGTCCGGTCCTACTGATCTTTTCTAGATTATCCAGGATCTGTTAGACACCATAATTTAGAAGGGTGCGCCTGGAAGCTTGCTTCAGAATACCCAGATCTGGCCATGCTAAGGAATTGGAGAACTAGGCATGGTTCCCCTCTCTCTATTACAAAAGCAGGAGCAACAATCTAATATTCGTTTATGGAGCTTTTCTAGATAGGGCTGCAGTGGAGATGAGCAACTGCCAAAACACTTTTAATGTATTTCCTTTTTACTAAGGATAATTGGGTAGGTTGCTTTTAGCAACGTATTTTTAGAGCAGTTTAACGCTGTACGTATCTGTTTTGAGGGTGTTGGAGGATTGTTGTTTCATTGCTCAACAGAAGAAAAGGATATTTATTAATATTTATTGATCTAAGGGTCTTCTATAACATGACAGGTCCATCTGGCTTGTGACTGTTTGTATAGTAATATAATTTGGTGGCATATTTTCTGATCATACTGTGAAAGCTTTATGGAGATTCTGCCATGTCCTTCGAAGAGATTTAGCCTGCGACGTTCACATGGGTGGGTATCATAATCAGTATTGCAAAACTAAAAGTGTGAAGGTTTTTCCTGCTTTTCACATACCTCAGCTGCGCCCTCAAAAGGCAATTCTTCCAAGCATGGGTGATTGTATGTTGAGAAAAGACAACATTTTCTTCAATTCTGTGCCTTGAGAGATGATACAAGTATTGCCTGAAACTATCTAAACCTAAACATTTTTTTAAAAAAAATGCTACTTTGGAATAGTTATATTGCTCTCGTCTTGTAACTTTATTTAAATTAAACCGTCCCTGGAGTCACAAGAGGCTTCCATAATTCCACTCTTGGTGGCCTTCAGGGTTTTTCAGTTGTGCCAGAGATGTCCTTGGCAAAGAAAATGAAACCAAGGTAGAAATCTGGCATAGCAGAACGGTTTGTTTCATGGATCTGTCCAAGTCCAGTGGTCTCACAGGGCCAGTTAGACGTGCCACAAGCAACTGCATTCAGAGACTGGCTCATAACAGATTCCAGTCTTGGCTTTCTTGTCCAGCGTCAGTCCAGGAGAAATGACATTGGCAAGCCAGAATAATCCCAAGAAGGAAAAATAGGCTGCAAGAGAGAAAGTGCCACAGTGTCAAGGAATGATATGTATTTTCAGTCCAAATGCAAAAAAAAAGGCACAGCATTACAGGTAGTTCCTTGACTTACGACCGCCATTGAGCCCATAATTTCCCCTGCTAAGCAAGACAGTCGTTAAGTGAGTTTTGCCCCATTGTACAACTTCGCCTCGCTTGTTAAGTGAATATGGCTTCCCCCTTGACTTTGCTTGCTGGAAGGCAATCACATGACCCCGGGACACTGCCAATTTTTTGTGTAAAGAGAAATCACAATACTTACTGGCCGATATTATGCTAGCCACCGACAGAATCATCGAGAGGTAATAGAGCTCAGGAGTGGTTCTGGCCTAGGAAAGATATATATATATATATAGATATGTATATAATTTATGATAAAGGAATTAAAAGTATTTTCCAATATTTTAATTTAAGCAGTCTATATTCAGAATTACCCTCTGGTGCTGTTCTGACCCAAACCTTGTTCCAAGGAAACAAACACGAAGCAGAGATAACAGAAAAACCTTTTAATGATTCTTTACGAATTCTGTTCGTTCACGGTTAAAAAGCTGTTTCAAATTAATTGTCTCTGATAAGAATGAGCCTTGCCAAGGTGGTGCAAGGCTGCCAAGAACACTAGATAAAGTTACTAAGAAAGATTTCAAACACAAAGAGTCTCCAAACACTAACCAAGTTATTCCCAACGTCCACAAAGCTTGAGTGCAAAAACTTTTTTGCTTCCTGCAAAGAACTCCGGTTTCTCAGCTGGCTTTTATCCCTTAAGGGAGGGGCCATTACCTTGCAGCCTTACTCCCGAGTTGCCCTTGCTGCTTAAGCTGCTCTTTCCTATGAGCAGCCCTGCGCGCACGCGAACTGGGCCCAGGCTCCTCGGGGGCCTCTTCATCACTGCTGCCAGCCTCCACAATCTCCGAAGGCAGCCTTCCACTCCCTGATGGTCCTGGCCCCATCCCTGCATCCCACGCAGGCCCCTCATCTGAGTCCTCGCTCTCTGAGACCTCAGCCGTCCGCACCTGCTGCCAGCAACCACAACAGGTGCGAGGAATTCTCTTAGGATTCAGAACAGACATTGGTTTAAGATCAGAAACCTTTCCTTGAAAAACCAGTCTAATGCAATCACTCCACGGTAAATGAACTCGTCGAAGTATATTGAACAGTCCAGGTTTTGTCTGACTCAGGTGGAGGCAGTCCTCGGCTTAGTGACCGTTGAAAGTTACAGCATCACTTTAAAAAAAAAAGGAACTTAGGACCGTTCGTCACACTAACAACCGTTGCTGCACTTCCCTCTGGTCACGTGATCAAAATTCAGACGCTTGACAACTGGCTCATATTTATGACGGTCGCAGCGTCCCGGGGTCCCAAGATCCCCTTCTGTGATCCCATGGGGGGATGCCAGATTCACTTCACCACCAGGTTATTAACTTAAACAACTGCGGCAAGAAAGGTAATAAAATGTTGCACAGCTCACTTAACCACTGTCTCACTTAGCAACAGAAATTTTGAGCTCCATTGTGATCCTAAGTCAAGGACTGGCTATATTAGGGCTTTTTTCCACCCCCCAAGAGGATGAAATCTGATGGAAACATGCTCTACCTACACATTGTGGGGCCAAGGCAGTGAGTAGAGTGATATAAGCTCCTTCTGCAAAAGAGGCCAGTCCAAAAACCGAGATTGTGGCTCTCAGCTCCCATGGGATGTGCTGCGTCATGGCTAAGATCAATGCCAGCCCTAAAAGAGAGTAAAGGGGAGAATTGGCTTCTGGAGATGGACATGCAGGCAGGAGCAACAGGTAGAGAGGCCTTTGGGCAATCCTGAACGGCATCCATCGCAGCCTCTTCCCCTGAGGTGTACACCATCTCCCCCACTGTCCTCTTCTGCAGCACCAGTGTTTAGATTTGTGAAGCCAAAAGACCGACATGGTGACTCGGAGCAACACGGAAGGGCAACATTCAGTCTCCAGGCTGTGATAGCTCTGGAGTGAGGTGGCGATAGGCATGCACGCATCCCGATGGGGCTAAGATGAGCCGAAGGCGCTCCTAATGCTCTGGAGAGCTGCTGGAAGCCGTCACGCACCCGTGGTGAAGAACGTCAGGATGATGCTTCCCACCAGGTTGTAGAGAAGGGGCTGGTCGCAGTAGTGAGAAGATGTAGGTCTGAAAAACAAAATTGGGCGGGGGGGGGGGGAGGTGGGCCAGTAACCACGTGTTCCAAGTTCATAAATGGCAGTTTTTTGAGCGTAAGTTGGAAGGCACAATTCTGATATTTTATACAAACCTTTTGCACAAGAGTTGGTACCTTTTCTCTGTTGGCAGGCCATGCTGAATTCTGCTGAATGTACAGTATATACTATATGCACCTTTGCATAGATTTGCTTTAACTTTGCCTCATTTCTGCTAGTGCCAGGCACTTTGCCTTTCCCACTGGGAAATTTCTTGCTTCTCTCTTTTTACTTGCATGTGCAATCTGCATATTTTCAAACCTCCTTTCCTTTCCCTTCCCTTCCCTTCCCTTCCCTTCCCTTCCTTTCCTTTCCTTTCCTTTCCTTTCCTTTCCTTTCCTTTCCTTTCCTTTCCTTTCCTTTCCTTTCCTTTCCTTTCCTTTCCTTCCCTTCCCTTCCCTTCCCTTCCCTTCCCTTCCCTTCCCTTCCCTTCCCTTCCAACTTTACCTAATTTCATAAAGCTAAAATAAAGAGCCTTTGTTAAAGGTACTGCTTTCAAAGCCTAGTGATCCTTACTATCAGTATAGTCTAAAATATCTGTCCCACCACAGCCTTCCCTTAAATTTCCAGCCCTTCAACTTTGGAATTTGAACCTCCGGGGGAAAACAGGAAGTCATCTGTTAAGTCTCTGCCAGAGACTTTATCCAAAATAAATCCCAGTCCAACCCCCCAAACCCTCATGGGACAGGCTGCGAGTTCTCTCTTCTCAAGAGCTCCTCAGGACATTCCAGTCGACTGCCCCCGTGTTCTTGAAGGTATGCAAGCAGGTAATGGGAAATATCAAAGAAAAAAGAATGAAATTCCACTTAGTACCGTAGCAGGACGTAGAATTGGAGAAGAAGAAAGGCAACCCCAAGGGCGAAAATCACAAGCTGCCTGTTGAAAAGAACAAGGAAATAAAAACAAGAGAGAAGATTTATCAGTACCTTTATGGTTTGAAAATATATTATCATCATTCTGTACGTTTGATGATTAGTGGCAAGCAGCGTTAAATGGCAAATATCATTCTTGTAATATCAACAAGTGAACATGTACCCAAAAGATTGGTCAAAGTTATAGGTCCAAGAGACAAACCATACAGGTAGGTTACAGAAGATTTTAAACCTGGCTTAAAACAGATGCCAATGCGATCTGTTGGTTGACACTTCTGATTGTGTCAAATAAGACTTCTGACAGAGAATTACAAATAGCACAAATTAATTCTTTTTCCCATATAATGCTGACGTGCGTAACTAGAGGGTGCTCTTATTGGGAAAAATAAAAATGCAAGCAGTCAGAATGAATAATAATAGCAAGCTTTAATTTTGTGCCCGAGTTAACACCGAGGGTAGCTTACAGTCTGAACCGCAGGTGCTTTGGTAGCCATCGGCTGAAGTGATAGGCAGCGTGGGCCAGACCGAAGTGAATCATAGCTGATCCTCAACAACCTGGCAAAAAAGACATCCAGGATTGTAGAATTAGTTCTTTAACTGCAAATCCCAGATTAAAGCCTCCCCCCGCCCCCCTTGTTGTATGCCTTCCAAGGAAAAACTGGTCCTTGGTACGGAAACCTTTTCTTTGACGTTTGCAAGGTCTTAAGTCCAGGTTCATTCAGCATTTCCAAGTGAAGTCTGGAAGGGCAATGAACTAAAAATATTTACATTTGCAAGCAGGTTTTAGATGGGTTAATGCTTTGCACTTAGCCGTGATGTTGTGAACTGCAAATTGTCTGGAGACATGCAACACACGGAGACTTTTATCACAGTTGACAAGCCCCAGTGTTCAAAGCCAAAGATCCGGTGGGTGAATTCTGGCTTTGGCTGAGAACCACTCTGCTATCTCTTGTGTCCTGGGCCATCAGAGAAAAGTTGCTTCTGAATAGGTCATCCTCGACTTACGACCACCACTGAGCCCCAAATTTCTGTTGCTAAGTGAGACATTTGTTAAGTGAGCGTTGCCCCATTTTATGACCTTTCTTGCCAGTGTTTGTTAAGTGAATCACTGCAATTGTCAAGTTAGTGATGGCGGTTGTAGGAATGCTGCCATGGTTGTGTGAAAAACGGTCACAAGTCACTTTTTTTTCAGTGCCGTTGTGACTTTGAATAGTTACTAAACAAACTGTTGTATTAGTGTTGGAAATTGAGGACTCCCTATATGGCAGCTCTATTTTGGCTTGGGTTCTTCCTAGGGTAGTCTTCCTCATCTGACCCACTCAGCCTCCTTCAACCTGTTGCCCCCAAACAGCTGCCAGAATTCCCACTCAGCACTCACCTTTGGAATTCTGGGACTTCATCCCTCCCTGATGCTCCTGTACATGTGAAGAGTGCAACAGAGTCTTCCCAGCTTATGGGAGCACTGGGACAAAGGAGTGGGTTGGATGTCAATATCTTTTTTCTTCCTTTGTCTGCCTCCCCCACCTTACCTGGATCACCAGGTGATCCTCTGCACCTCAGCTGATCTTCTCTCTCTGGGGGAAGGAATTGGATCGTCCCCTTCCAGCCCCTTCCTGGGGGGATCACCCCCTTTCCACCTTTAGAAGCATCCTCCCCCCCAATCTATGCATTGCTGCTGTCCAGCCACAGAGGTGACTGGCCAAGGTGGGTATTTTTTATACCTGCGACAGGCGGGGATCATTTTACCTGTATTCATTATTCAAACATTGGCTTCTTGCCTCGGCGAACGCGCTTTCAAGACCTTAGGAAATGCCAAGGCTGGAATTCAACCCAGGTCTCCTGGCTTTGATCGCTCTTTTTGCTTCCATCTTTGGTCAGCCTAACGAAGAAGTGAAATTTAAAAGGAATGCACCTCTAAAAATACAGCCTTGGGGAAATTGATTCATCAGGGGGGAAAAACGAAGAGTGAACCATTATGAATCCCTGCAAAAGCGATCAAATTATGACAGCATTGTAGTGATCTTAATAAACTATTTGGAGAATATTCCAAAGATGCTTTTTTTTCCCCCAAGAGGAAATTGGACTTTCTTCTTCTTCTTCTTCTTCTTCTTCTTCTTCTTCTTCTTCTTCTTCTTCTCCTCCTCCTCCTCCTCCTCCTCCTCCTCCTCCTCCTTCTCCTTCTCCTTCTCCTTCTCCTTCTTCTTTTTAAAGGCTTTTCGCTTCTCATCCAAGAAGCTTCTTCAGCTCAACCGGACCGAAGAGCTGAAGAAGCTTCTTGGATGAGAAGTGAAATCTCTTCAAGGAAAAACCAAGAAAGTGCAGTTGCCTCTTGGGGGAGGGGGGAAGCACCTTTGGGACAACCATGACCTGGGTGACTGAGAATCTCCATAGGCATTTAGCTATGCACTATATGCCATCTCTTGTGTTTAACCCCTGTTGTCCTTTAGTGGCTTGTATGTACAAAGAAAAGGTGACTCGCCTTTGTAGCAGCCAAAACTACCTTAAAATGGGCCTTCCCAAAATATTGGCAAAACCTGAGCTTGCAGTCACTTAGCTTCGTATTCATGAGGACCAGAAACATGGTTTTTCTTCACAGATACAGGCTGATCCCTGCAACACACTCCTCTCTTTCTACAAAATTGCCTTGTTGCTGTGATTTCAGAAGATTGCAAAATCTCAGGGCCTCCTTTCATCTACTTCCATGTGTGGAACCGATTGGCTTTCTGTGCTAGTACGAAGGAAATGACTTCTCTTACTGGGTTTTTTTGTGTGTGGTTCCAGTGGAAAATGAAAATAGTTTTTCTTCTTTTCCTTTTTTGAAAAACACTCTTCCCTTTCCCCCCCCCTCTTTTCCCTTGAAGCAGGTGCCCATTGTGACTCCCGTCTTCCCCGGCTAAAGCAGGTCCAGCTGATGGAGGATTCCGACAACCGGACCGAAGTGATCCTGCTGGCATGTGGCTCATTCAACCCCATCACCAACATGCACCTTCGGCTTTTCGAACTGGCAAGAGACCACCTGCAGGAAACAGGTAGAACGGGGAGGGAGGGCCTTCGTTGAGAGCCACGAGGGAGGCTGGGCTTTGTGTGCCAGTTGCCCTAATTAAAATCGTGAGCCTCGAGCCACAGCTTCAAAAACTTCATCGGATTTATTAGGAGCGAACATGTCGGCATGACCTGGGTGAAGCCGATTCTGAGACACGTAATTTACTACCACCTATGACCCTGTTCCCCCCCCCACCCACCTTTTGGGTGTAATTCATATCCTACAACGAAACAGATTCATAGCTGAGAGTCATCAATCACGTTCTCCAATTAGGGCTTTTTACAGGCAGAAATTCCGGTAGCTTAGTTATAATCTTTGCAAGATATGAACGGAATGCACTTTCGGTTTTAAACTGTCGCACTGCTCCTTCAAATTAGCCCCCCCCCCCCCAACCTTTTCATGGCAACTCTAAAACAGGCATGGAAATGTTTTATGAGTTGACATCGTGTCGTGATCCAACAGGCAAAGTTTCCCCCAGGTGCTTTGGACTACAATTCCTCCTGATCCCCAACCTGTCAGGGCTGGAGGACAAAACCTGTTCTAGGATGTACCTGGAGGGAGGACTTTGGTGTGGATGGTCCTGAAGAGAAGAAACCTTATCGCCCACGCGTCTCCTTTTCTGCCCCCTCTCGTTCAAAGGGAGGACAGCTTGAGTTTGATTACAACAGAGCCTGCCGTAAACTGCTTCTCTGCAATTCTTTCGGCTCTGGTGCTTTTCTTTCCTAATTTCTAAAGTTACTGTTTTTCACTGTTTATGTGCCAGAAGTCTGTGACTAATGATGAGTAGGAACCACAGGCAGTTGCAGTGTATTGCTATATTTTTTAGTCTCGGCAGCCTTCCCGTCCTCCCTTCCTTCTTCTATCTATCGTCCTCCCTCCCTCATTCACTCTTAAATTCCTTCCTTCCTTCCCTCCCTCCCTCATTCACTCTTAAACTCTAGATTTCCTTTTCTTTCTTCCTTCCCCTTCCTTCCCTTCCCTTCCTCCCTTCCTTTTTCTATCGGCCTCCCTCCCTCATTCACTCTTAAACTCCTTCCTTCCTTCCTTCCCTC